CTCACTCACCTGTACACTCACTCACTCACCCGTACACTTACTCACCCGTACACTCACTCACCCGTACACTCACTCACTCACTTGTGCACTCACTCACTCACTCACCTGTACACTCACTCACCCGTACACTCACTCACCCACCCGTACACTCACTCACCCATACACTCACTCACTTACCTGTACACTCACTCACTCGCTCACCCGTACACTCACTCACTCACCCGTACACTCACTCACTTGTGCACTCACTCACTCACCTGTACACTCACTCATTCACCCGTACACTCACTCACTCACTCACCCATACACTCACTCACTCACCTGTACACTCACTTGCTTACCCGTACACTCACTCACTCACCCGTACACTCACTCACTCACCTGTACACTCCTCACTCACCCGTACACTCACTCACTCACCTGTCTACTCACTTACTCACCTGTACACTCACTCACTCACTCACCTGTACACTCACTCACACTACACTCGCTCACCCGTACACTCACTCACTCGCTCACCCGTACACTCACTCACTCACTCACCCGGACACTCACTCACTCACTCACCCGTACACTCACTCACCCGTACACTCACTCACTCACTCACCCATACACTCACTCACCTGTACACTCACTCACTCACCCGTACACTCACTCACTCACCCGTACACTCACTCACCCGTACACTCACTCACCCGTACACTCACTCACCTGTACACTCACTCACTCACCCGTACACTCACTCACCCGTACACTCACTCACTCGTACACTCACTCACTCGTACACTCACTCACCCGTACACTCACTCACTCACCCGTACACTCACTCACTCACCCGTACACTCACTCACTCACTCACTTGTGCACTCACTCACTCACCTGTACACTCACTCACTCACTCACCCGTACACTTACTCACCCATACACTCACTCACTTACCTGTACACTCACTCACTCGCTCACCCGTACACTCACTCACTCACCTGTACACTCACTCACCCGTACACTCACTCACTCACTCACCCGTACACTCACTCACTCACTTGTGCACTCACTCACTCACTCACCTGTACACTCACTCACCCGTACACTCACTCACCCACCCGTACACTCACTCACCCATACACTCACTCACTTACCTGTACACTCACTCACTCGCTCACCCGTACACTCACTCACTCACTCACCTGTACACTCACTCACGCGTACACTCACTCACTCACCCGTACACTCACTCACTCACCCGTACACTCACTCACCCGTACACTCCCTCACTCACCCGTACACTCACTCATTCACTCGTACACTCACTCACCCGTACACTCACTCACTCACCCGTACACTCACTCACTCACTTGTGCACTCACTCAGTCACCTGTACACTCACTCACTCACCCGTACACTCACTCACTCACCCATACACTCACTCACTCACCTGTACACTCACTTGCTTACCCGTACACTCACTCACTCACCCGTACACTCCCTCATTCACCTGTACACTCCTCACTCACCCGTACACTCACTCACTCACCTGTCTACTCACTTACTCACCTGTACACTCACTCACTCACTCACCTGTACACTCACTCACACTACACACTCGCTCACCCGTACACTCACTCACTCGCTCACCCGTACACTCACTCACTCACCCGGACACTCACTCACTCACTCACCCGTACACTCACTCACCCGTACACTCACTCACTCACTCACCCGTACACTCACTCACCTGTACACTCACTCACTCACCCGTACACTCACTCACTCACCGGTACACTCACTCACCCGTACACTCACTCACTCACCTGTACACTCACTCACTCACTCACCCGTACACTCACTCACCCGTACACTCACTCACCTGTACACTCACTCACCCGTACACTCACTCACCCGTACACTCACTCACTCACCTGTACACTCACTCACTCACCCGTACACTCACTCACCCGTACACTCACTCACTCGTACACTCACTCACTCGTACACTCACTCACTCACTCACCCGTACACTCACTCACTCACTCACCCGTACACTCACTCACTCACTTGTGCACTCACTCACTCACCTGTACACTCACTCACTCACCCGTACACTTACTCACCCATACACTCACTCACTTACCTGTACACTCACTCACTCGCTCACCCGTACACTCACTCACTCACCTGTACACTCACTCACCCGTACACTCACTCACTCACCCGTACACTCACTCACTCACTTGTGCACTCACTCACTCACTCACCTGTACACTCACTCACCCGTACACTCACTCACCCACCCGTACACTCACTCACCCATACACTCACTCACTTACCTGTACACTCACTCACTCGCTCACCCGTACACTCACTCACTCACCCGTACACTCACTCACTCACTCACTTGTGCACTCACTCACTCACCTGTACACTCACTCACTCACTCACCCGTACACTCACTCACTCACTCACCCATACACTCACTCACTCACCTGTACACTCACTTGCTTACCCGTACACTCACTCACTCACCCGTACACTCACTCACTCACCTGTACACTCCTCACTCACCCGTATACTCACTCACTCACCTGTCTACTCACTTACTCACCTGTACACTCACTCACTCACCTGTACACTCACTCACACTACACTCGCTCACCCGTACACTCACTCACTCGCTCACCCGTACACTCACTCACTCACTCACCCGGACACTCACTCACCCGTACACTCACTCACCTGTACACTCACTCACTCACTCACCCGTACACTCACTCACCTGTACACTCACTCACTCACTCACCCGTACACTCACTCACTCACCCGTACACTCACCCGTACACTCACTCACTCACCTGTACACTCACTCACTCACTCACCCGTACACTCACTCACCCGTACACTCACTCACCCGTACACTCACTCACCTGTACACTCACTCACCCGTACACTCACTCACCTGTACACTCACTCACTCACCTGTACACTCACTCACTCACCCGTACACTCACTCACCCGTACACTCACTCACTCGTACACTCACTTACTCGTACACTCACTCACTCACTCACCCGTACACTCACTCACTCACCCGTACACTCACTCACTCACCCGTACACTCACTCACTCACTTGTGCACTCACTCACTCACCTGTACACTCACTCACTCACCCGTACACTTACTCACCCATACACTCACTCACTTACCTGTACACTCACTCACTCGCTCACCCGTACACTCACTCACTCACCTGTACACTCACTCACCCGTACACTCACTCACTCACCCGTACACTCACTCACTCACTTGTGCACTCACTCACTCACTCACCTGTACACTCACTCACCCGTACACTCACTCACCCACCCGTACACTCACTCACCCATACACTCACTCACTTACCTGTACACTCACTCACTCGCTCACCCGTACACTCACTCACTCACCTGTACACTCACTCACGCGTACACTCACTCACCCGTACACTCACTCATTCACTCGTACACTCACTCACTCACCCGTACACTCACTCACTCACCCGTACACTCACTCACTTGTGCACTCACTCACTCACTCACCTGTACACTCACTCACCCGTACACTCACTCACTCACCCATACACTCACTCACTCACCCATACACTCACTCACTCACCTGTACACTCACTTGCTTACCCGTACACTCACTCACTCACCCGTACACTCACTCACTCACTTGTACACTCCTCACTCACCCGTACACTCACTCACCTGTCTACTCACTTACTCACCTGTACACTCACTCACTCACCTGTACACTCACTCACACTACACTCGCTCACCCGTACACTCACTCACTCGCTCACCCGTACACTCACTCACTCACCCGGACACTCACTCACTCACCCGTACACTCACTCACCCGTACACTCACTCACTCACTCACCCGTACACTCACTCACCTGTACACTCACTCACTCACCTGTACACTCACTCACTCACCCGTACACTCACTCACTCACCCGTACACTCACTCACCCGTACACTCACTCACTCACCTGTACACTCACTCACGTGTACACTCACTCACCCGTACACTCACTCACTCACCTGTACACTCACTCACTCACTCACCCATACACTCCCTCACTCACCCGTACACTCACTCACTCACTCACTTGTGCACTCACTCACTCACCTTTACACTCACTCACACATAGACTCACTCGCCTGTACACTCACTCACCTGTACACTCACTCACCTGTACACTCACTCACCTGTACACTCACTCACCTGTACACTCACTCACTCGCCTGTACGCTCACTCGCCTGTACGCTCACTCGCCTGTACACTCACTCGCCTGTACACTCACTCGCCTGTACACTCACTCACTCGCCTGTACACTCTCACCTCTTCACTCACTCACTCACCTGTACACTCACTCACTCACTCACGTGTACACTCACTCACCCGTACACTCACTCACTCACCTGTACACTCACTCACTCACTCACCCATACACTCCCTCACTCACCCGTACACTCACTCACTCACTCACTTGTGCACTCACTCACTCACTCACCTTTACACTCACTCACACATAGACTCACTCGCCTGTACACTCACTCACCTGTACACTCACTCACCTGTACACTCACTCACTCACCTGTACACTCACTCACCTGTACACTCACTCACCTGTACACTCACTCACCTGTACACTCACTCACTCACCTGTACGCTCACTCGCCTGTACGCTCACTCGCCTGTACACTCACTCGCCTGTACACTCACTCACTGGCCTGTACACTCACTCACCTCTTCACTCACTCACTCACCTGTACACTCACTCACTCGCCTGTACACTCACCCGTACACTCACTCACTCACTCAGCTGTACACTCACTCACTCACCTGTACACTCACTCACTTGCCTGTACACTCACCCGTACACTCACTCACCCTGGATCAATGGCTACACAGTGGGGGATCTTTGTCTTTGTTCCTTTTGTGTGTTCCAGGAAATGTCGTCGATGGTGAGTTCGTACGCAGCGCAAGGACACGGAGTGACCCTGAGTTTCAGACTCATTCCCAAGCTGAGGTATGTGAGAACAAGCAAAGACAAAGATTCCCTATGTAGCCTTGACAGACTAATAATAATAATAGGGGTTTTCACTTTTTTTCTGGCAACAAAACTGAAACCTTTTTACTAGGATTCATGATTACTGCATTAACCACAATACCTGCAGTCAAAATGCAAACAAAAAAACATACTATGATAATATATGCATTGTCCTTGAACCTGATTGGTCCACACCAAGGGACGGCTTTCTTTTGAGCCTCGACCCAATTGGTGCTCGACCAGATGACGCCAAAAGGCGTCACACAGCTCAAAGACAATGCCGCTATCAAAGTAATGAGGGCTCGGGGTGAGCATCTACATCAGTAGACCTTTGCCAGTACCAAAATGTAATAATAGGGTTTGTCCCCTTTTTTTCTGGCAACAAAACTGAAACCTTTTAACAAGGATTCAAGTTACTGCATTAACCATAATACCTGCAGTCATCTGGTCGAGCACCAATTGGGTCGAGGCTCAAAAGAAAGCCGTCCCTTGGTGTGGACCAATCAGTTTCAAGGACAATGCATATATTATCATAGTAGGTTTTTTTGTTTGCATTTTGACTGCAGGTATTGTGGTTAATGCAGTAATCATGAATCCTTGTAAAAAGGTTTCAGTTTTGTTGCCAGAAAAAAGGGGGAAAACCCTATTGTTATGTTTTGGTACTGGCAAAAGGAGGTCTAATGATGATGATGCTCACCCCGAGCCCTCATTACTTTGCTAGTGGCATTGTCTTTGAGCTGTGTGACGCCTTTTGGCGTCATCTGGTCGAGCACCAATTGGGTCGAAGCTCAAAAGAAAGCCGTCCCTTGGTGTGGACCAATCAGTTTCAGGGACAATGCATCAAATATCATAGTGTAGTGGAGTAGATAATGCGCATAGGAATTGGCCATGTACAGTACATACAGACAGACAAGGAGAACGGGTCACACGAGGTCGAACAGGTGGTCGAGTCGCGAGTGCCGTAAACAAACCCAAGTAATTAAGGGAGTCGTGGCACGAGGGCTGTGATTGGTCTAGAGGCTGTTAGCGTTAAGTGGTGGCGTCGGAATGTCTGATGAGGGGGACAGGTGCGGGCTGGCGGGAAACGGCCAGCGAGCCACGTGGCAATTAATTAAGGCTAATGCGAGAGGGGATAAAACGCGAGGTGGTTTGAACGGAGGGGAGTTGCTGTTGGTGGTTGCTGTTGGAGAGTTGCTGCTGGGAAGTTGTTGCTGGGCAGTTGTTGGCGAGAGGTGAAGAGATACGGAGAAGACAGCTGGAAATAAGAATAGGTTTTACCCTTTTAACTGGCACAAAAACTGACACCTTTATTCAAGGCATCATGTTTGCAATGACCACAACACAAGCAGTCAAAATGCAAACCAAAAAGACAACTCTGATAATAATATGCACTGTCCTTGAATTTGATTGGTCCACACCCGAGACAGCATTTCTTAGAGCCTAGTCTCCATTGGTGTTGGACCAGAAGACGCCAAAAGGCGTACAACTCAAAAACAGCTTTTTGGCGTCTTCTGGTCCAACACCAATGGAGACTAGGCTCTAAGAAAAGCTGTCTCGGGTGTGGACCAATCAAATTCAAGGACAGTGCATATTATTATCAGAGTTGTCTCTTTTTTGTTTGCATTTTGACTGCTTGTGTTGTGGTCATTGCAAACATGATGCCTTGAATAAAGGTGTCAGTTTTTGTGCCAGTTAAAAGGGTAAAACCTATTCCTATATCTTGTTTCTGGCAAAGGAGGTCTCATAATGTTACAGCTGGAAATATTAGGGAATAGATAGAGAGCCGGACCCCAAAGACAGTAAATAGCGATAGGGAGAGTCCGCGTTAGCGGAGATAGAGAGAGTCACTGTGTGTGAATAGATGGAAGTCACTGTGTGTGAAGAGATAGCGGCGATACTTTGTGTGAGGAGATAGAAGACGAACCACTGTGTGTGGAAGGGAAGACACTGTGTGGGAAGAGATAGAGTCGCTGTGTGTGAATAGATAGAGTCACTGTGTGTGAATAGACAGACAGGACACTGTGTGTGAAGAGATAGGCGAAGAACCACTGTGTGTGGAAGGGGATGCACGGACGATGCTGAAGTAAATCGGAGTGTCCAAGTTGGCGGAGCACGGAGAGAATTACTGTGTGTATGGAACGATGGAATAAAAGTGACGGCGGAAAAAGAGACGGTTGTCGTCCGAGTGAATTCACGGCACTACAATAGTATGTTTTTTGTTTGCATTTTGACTGCAGGTATTGTGGTTAATGTAGTAACATGAATCCTCGTAAAAAGGTTTCAGTTATGTTGCCAGAAAAAAGGGGAAAAACCCTATTATTACATTTTGGTACTGGCAAAGGAGGTCTAATGATGTAGATCCTTGACAGACTGTTGGGGCAAGTGCTGTTAGCGAGTAGCACATAGGAAGGCCGATACGGCACACCAGTGTTGATGTTTACGACACACCGCCACTCCTAGGTACTCATTTTAGGCTGAGTCGACCTAGGGGATAAGGTCCAGGACCGGTTCAGATAATCGTCACTGGTGTTGGTGGCTGTGAGCGGGAATCAAAGTTGTGTCGCCGGGTTTCTGGTAGTGCAACGCGCTCCACTGGACACACACAGACATGCACACACACACACGGAGACACGCACAGATACACACACAACAACAACAACCACCATTCCCACTAAGTGGCGGTGACGTCACCACGGCGCTTGTGCCAGGCGATGTGCACGTTGAGGCCACGTAAAGTTTCGAACGCCCGCTGGCTTGAGGTGACGGGGCAGACCCAGCAGGTGCCACGGGTCGACTGACTGTGCCAGCTTGCTGTGTTTCAGCCGCCCGGCACTCAGCTCCAAATCCTCTTGTACCACCACATCACTCCATCTCTTCTCTAGCCCGTGCTGCGCCCGTTTAGCCCCCCTCTATCTGGCGGAACAAAAGCTGTTTAAGCATGTGGTGGCTGGGCATGTGGGCTACATGACCCAGCCAACGCAGCCTTGCCTGCCGGAGCAGCTCACCGATGGAACCTTGCCCAGATCTTTCAAGGATTTGTGGGCTCCTCACACAATCCAGCCTCGTTAAACCCAGGCAGGCCAGCCTAAACATTTCTAACAGTCGATGTTCCATTAGGGGGGGTCCACGTTTCGCAAGCGTAGAGAAGGGAGGGCATGACTGTGGTTGAGAAGACCTGAAGCTTCGCGTGGAGTGACAGACCAGGTAGCTTCCACACAGCGTTACGCAACCGATGAAAAGATTCCGCTCGACTGATTCGGAGTAAGACCTCTGCTGTTAAACCGGAGCCAGTCATGAGCACACTGCCCAGGTTTGGGAAACTCTCCACGCTCTCCACAACTGCCCCATCACCAATTGGGAGTTGTGGGGGTGGAGTGTCCCGTGGTACAAAATACCCAGGCAGGTACTTAGTTTTGGTGGGGCTGATGGTAAGGCCCCACCTCTTAGTGGCAAGCTCCAGGTTCAGCAGCATCGCCTCTAACTCCTCTGAGTGAACAGCAATTACCAGATTATCAGCATACATAACATGGTTCACCAATAGGGAGCAATGCCTTGACCGCACTCGGGCATCGATCAGCCTCCCATTTTATCTGTACCAGATGGAAATTCCTCCTATACAGCCATGGAAAGCTTCACGAACTATGTGGTTGAAATAGATGATACTTAATTTGGGAGCCAGAGGACATCCCTGTCGCACCCTAAGATGAACATGGAATGGCTCTGACTCCCGGCCACGTAGTTTTACCCGGGCCCGCTCGCCATCATGAAGGTCCTTAATTATTGTGAGCAGAGAGTCAGGGACGAAAGCACAAAGAACAACCCAAAGCCCAGGCCTACTGTTAGTATCATTGGCCTTGATCAGGTCAATAAAGCAGAGATGTAGGTCTTGTTGGAATTCCCTACACCTCTGCTGTAGCAGACGGACAGAAAATATGGCATCTGTGCAGGACCGCCCTTTCCTGAAACCGCATTGGTGCTCCGCAAGCCTCTCCTCAGCGTGCCTGGCAAGGCGATGTTGAATAACTCTTGACAGGAATTTTTCTGGCACACTGAGGAGTGAGATGCCCCTGTAGTTGTTAAAGAGGGGTACCACCCGATTGTTATTATGATGTCATGTAGGACAGTCTGCGCAGAAACGCCACCCTCCCTCAGCATTTCGCCTGGGAGATCATCTCTACCTGGTGCTTTTTCTGGCATCAGACTGGATCGCCTTCTATACTTCCTAAAGAGATGGCACCTCAGCCAGCCACTCACAGGGGGCGACTACTTCAATATTTGACGCACTGCAGCCTCAGCAGGGTCATTTCCACTTTGCTCAAATGATGTTTTCCAGGCTGAGGGATTTCCCCTCCCCCAAAACCTCAGAAATGCTCAGAAAATTTGCAAACCTGTTCCTGGGGGTAGGAAATTAGATCACCGTTCTTTCCCCTAATAGTGGTGATAGGTGTGGCGCTTCAAGTTATTGTTTTGATGGAGTTACAGAGTGATTTGTGATCACGAGCTACTGAGGCAGACTCCATCTCCTCAGGAACCGCGACCACCTCCCATCCTTCCAGCGCCTCACGGCTCTCCGAACCTCCAAGCGAAGGCTGCAGTAAGCCACATTCTCTCACGTGGGATGCTGTAGACGGTGAGAGTGGTTCTGTGGCTTTTCCTCAGCCAGCCTGAACACCTCCTCTGTCAGCCATGGGTCTCTGAGGAGGTCTGGACTGCGTACCCATAGCAGCCATTGCAGCTGCATGAGCCACAGTCCTAAACCTCGCCCATTTCCCCTGGGCATCAGGAGGAGCGGGGGGGACGTTGTAACGGCGTGCGTGTTCCGCGTTATAACGGTGTGCTCTTTCCGCGTTATAGGAGTGTGCGTGCTGTCACGTTGGGCGCGTTACACATTATAACGGTGCGGGTGTTCCGCGTTATAACAGCAGCACGTTCCTCGTCGTGCCAAAAGTGTCTCCTAATGGAAGAACGGCGCGATATCGTGAAGACGCATTGGGAACACACATGCCTCACACCTAGAAGCCAACCGTGCTCATTGGAGGTGCGGTTATTATTATTATCATTACTACATGGTGGGGGGTTATCTGTATTTGTTCCTTACAGAGAGATTCTGCAGCAGATTCTACCACTGGACTCTCACACCCAGGCCTCCGGTCGTCTCTTTGTATCAGTGACTCGACTTCCTGATGGACAGAACCGCATCATATCGGACTTTAGCACGAGAGAGGAGCTCATACAGGTACATAAGTGTGTACCTGTGTGCTGGAACCTCTTTCGCACCACCGTACACAGCCAACCGTACTAATCGGAGGTGCAGGATGATGATGGTGATGTACGTATGTTGGAACTTCTTTTGCACCATCATACATAGCCAACCGTACTAATCGGCGGTGCAGGATGATGATGGTGATGTACGTATGTTGGAACTTCTTTCGCACCATACGTACCCAACCGTGCTTATCAGAGGTGCAGGGGGGAAGGACAACAAACTAAACACAAATAGCGGTTTTTAAGAAATTCGTTTTCAATCTAGAAAATGTAAAAGTGCGTAGTGTAGCTCCAGTGGCTTCCTAATATCGGAAGGAAGAGCATTCCAGAAGGCCGCAGTAGCGCATCCGAAAGCGCCACACCATGTATTCTGGTTCAGCTATGATAAGCAAACATCATCATCATGACCATCAGCTGCAGCAACTACTATAAAAACTATGATTTTATTTGTTTTATTCTACCAGGTGTAAGGCCCACTGAGCTACTGTATGTAGCTCATGTTCAGAACCTACCTGGCCATAACTGATAGCCCAACGAAAATGGCTTTTCATCATCACGTGGAAATGCATAGCAGCCAAACACTCGAAACTTAAATGCGTGACATCGATTTTAAATGTGGAGGGAAAAACCGGAGGACCCGGAGAAAAATCCACGCAACCACATGTCAACTCCAAATATACAGCAAGCATCAAGGTCGGGATTTAACCATGCCCTCCTGCATACCAGGCGAGGAAGTTAACATTTCCTAGCCACCGTGATGATGATGAGAGAGAGAGAGACACGCAAACTCCCAATATACAACAGGCGTCAGGGCCGGGATGGAACCCACCACCTCCTCCATACCAGGCGAGGTAGTTAACATCCCCTAGCCACTACTTTATAAAACAAGTTGATTTTTGTTTTGCACAAGTACGTAAATTCCTAATGAGGCCCAGTGTGGCTAGGCTAGGCTAGGCCCCACTGGTGAAAAAGAAAAATAGATAAAACAACTTATATCCGCACTTTTTCTTTGCTAGCTTAAGGTGTACAAAATGCACATTGCCGATTTGCGTATATTGTCAATTTAAAGTTCATTTGTCACGCTCGTTAAATGCTCGCCTATCACCACTGCATCTGCATCTGCCCTCCTCCTCCTCCAGGTTCTGCTGGCAAGCTGCCTCTTTCCGTTTTATTCTGGAATCTCTGGGATATGCTACAGAGGAGAGGTAAATGTGATTTCGTTTCTTCCTCGCCCTCTCCCTTGCCCACCGAACACCCCCGAGACATATTGCCGCTGTGATTTTCCACTCAAGACAGTCCAAACATATTAATTGCTAGCTTGGAAAAAAACGGCCACCTGCTCTTTAAAAGTCTTTCTTAAAAAAAAAACAGATTCACCTGCGTGCCTTTAAAAGACACGTTTGAAATGTGTTTAAACTCTGGACGGATCGTCAGGACATGGCCCTTAAATAATAAAATAATAATCTTACCAGATCAAATCAATCAAGTCTTTATTTCTAGAGCACTATTTCGGGCAAAGGATGCCATTCAACGTGCTGTACAGATAAAAAAACATTGTTAATAGACTAAATCACAAGAAGAATAAAAGCAAATTCCATACAAAACTAAATTACATTATAATGAATTACTTTCGAATGCATATATATATAAAAATAACACTATAAAAGTTTAAAGCAAGTAACAAAAACAGGTGAGTTTTTAGATTTAACGTCATACTGCTTAATGATTGTGACAATGATTTTGCTGGAGAGCTATGGAAAGAAGTGGGTTCGGAGTAACACGCATAGTTTGAGGAATTAAAATAATAAGAGCGGGGAACAGAGGGTCACTGACTTTGGCGTCAAAGCAAAATAAATCGAGTGGGAATGGGAAATGGGCAGGATGCGTCGCGGTGGCGAGATGTTACCCACCTCGCCTGCTCTACAAGGAGGTGGTGGGTTTTGTTATTGATTGTTGTTTTAACCTGCTGACCTGCCCCTGCTGGACGGCTGTGAAAGAGAGCTTCATAGCGCGTCGGATTCCTCCAGTATAAATAAAGATTCTGATTCGGAAAATTACATGTAATTAACGAAAATGAAGCTAGTTTAATTTTACCAGGTAACAGCCACTGAGCTATGTGGCTCTTTTTCAGAAGTGACCTGGCCACAAATGATAGCTAAACAAAGCGGCTTATCTCGTGGAAATTGATAATCACAGCCAAATAATCAAAACACACGTTTCTAGTAAATATGGAGGGGAAAAAGCCGAAGGATCTGGAGAAAATCCACGTGGCCATGGCGAGAGAGACACCGCAAACTCCAAATGTACAACAGGCATCGTCAGGGCCATAGATCAAACCCCAGACCTCCTACATACCAGGCGAGGGAGATAACATCTCACGACCCGTTTCTTCCAACCACTGCTGTTGCCGTCACCTTCCCAGATGTACTGCGACGGAGGGTTCACCGACAATCAACCCTTCCCCAAGCTGGCCCAGTCCTGCGGAGTCTCCGCCTCGCAAGGCCTCATCAGCGTGTCGCCCTTCGAGGGCACGCAGGCCATCTGTCCGCGCGGCATCTGCCCGACAAACGGGCGCATTCTGCGGTACGCCGGCCTCGATTTCAAGGTGAATATCAGTCACGAGTTATAACTCGTCCGTATCTGTATGGGACCTGTTGTTTTTTCTAAGTATCAAAATGATGGGAACAATAATAATAATAAGATCTTAAGATCTGTTTTATTGCCAGAAAGGGTGAAGCCTATTCTTATACTCATCCACGTTTGTTTTTGGGCTACCACGTAAGGTTAGGGGTGCCGCATGTGGCGAGATGTTAACTACCTCGCCTGGTATACAGGAGGTCGTGGGTTTGATCCCGATCCCGACCCTGACGACACCTGTTGTATATTTGGAGTCTGCGTGTTTCTCTCTCTCCCCGTGGTCGCGTTGATTTGTCTCCGGGCCCTCAGTTTTTTTTCCCCTCCAGATTTAGAATCGACGCTACACCTTTAGAGTTATCCGGCTGCTGCTAGACATTTCCACGTCATGACGACGATAAGCCGCCCACTTAATTTAGCTATCATGTGTGATAGTAAGGGTCGCTTCTGAAAAGGCCCTCAGTGTGGGCCTTTCCTGGTAAAATGAAAAAAAAATAATAGTTACAATGGATATCCATTACCAGTTGCGTTTGAAAATGTGTCGCGTGATGAAAACGAGTTGCTACAAATCGTCGGGCAGATCGCTAGAGAGCAAGAGTCTGCCTATACTGTGAGCAACTGGTTGCAGAGACGTCCGTGTACTTCAGTTGCACACAACCGATTGCGGGAACTGATCGCTCAGGTGGTGGTCCGATTGAATCTTGCATTGTTTGATTTTTTGTTGCTGCGTGACTGCGAATACAGATGGGAATGGCCAACCTGCAGCGCCTTTGGTACGCGCTCTTTCCCCCGTCGTGCGAGAAGCTGGAGCTCTACTTCGAGGATGGCTATAGAGACGCGATGGACTTTCTGGAGCAGATCAAGGCTCACTGACACAACGGCTTCACCGTGTTAGTGTGCAGCGATATAATAAATGTAGATATAGTACATTTTTGTTAATATGCTAATTGTTTTTTTACCCTATTATCTGGCAATAAAACTGACACCTTTTTTTTTTACAAAGAGTCATGTTTGCATTGACCACAATACCTGCGGTCGGAATGCAAACAAAACACATAACTCTGATAATGTATGCACTGTCCTCTAAGGAAAGCTGTCTCGGGTGTGGACCAATCAATTTTTTAAACCTATCTACGTGAAATTTTTATATTATTGTGTTATTTTATTTTATCAATTTATTATTTTATTCTCATTCTACGTGACTTTACCGAAAGACCCAAAGAATATGAATACCTGCAGTCACGAAAGCTTTAAGTCAAGATTTATATGACTACATTAACCCCCCCCCCCCTCTGGTCTTCGCATCTGATTGGCTCACAAGTAATGACATCACATGAATCCCCTCTCTTTTTAAGATTGAACTAGGAAGAGGATTTCTCCACAATTCTCTGGCTGTCACCTGATGAGGCTGCTTGTCGTTACTGGTGAAATGTCGTACTCAAATTGCAAAAGTTCTGGGTTTACTCTCCAACACACCGGTGTGCTGTACTAATAACGAATTGCCATGTTTTTTAAAGTGACAAACCTTACTAATTGGCTGTGTCGAGTGGTGGCGGGTTTAGCGGCATTTATATTTGCACGTTATAACCCAAAATAACCTTTTACAAATAATATAGGTTGCGAAGGCCGACGTGTCAAACTGTGGTTGGTTGTTTAAATTAACCACACGTGCACTTTTAGTCTCCCCTTTGCCTTGTTGCGTCATTGCATGACACAGTGACATCGCGGATGTCACTGTGTAGTGCCGGGCCTAGAGAGGCACGGCGTGCGGTGTATTGACATCGCGGGCATCACTAGAATGTGGGTGCAGTACCGGCCCTAGAGGGGCTCGGTGAGAACGTTGATCGATAGCGCTGGATGGCACCACGCTTGGCGTGCAGTGCCGACCCCTACAGGATAGGGTGTGAGAGTGCCGCCATGGGAATGGGGTTACTGTAGGCCGTGGCACACTGGTTGACCCCAGAGGACACTTGACCGGTTGAGTCTACACAGGGACCCCAAGTGGGGGCTAGCGGTGGTCACGTGTCAGGGTCGAGATCCTGCTGGAGGATTCTAGAAGAAGGTCGTGGCCAAGGCCGGAGCCAGTCACTCCACAGAGGATATAAGCCGGGTCCCCCAGAGGGACTGGCTGCTGTTGTTCATCTTGAAGAAATCTACGTTCTACGTCCTACAGAGTCTCCAACACGTGGAGCTGGACCCAACCTGTGGTCCCGTCCATTGTAGCTAGTTACTGTGTAATTAGTGCAGTTAGCCTGGTGGTCACCAGTTCCATTTCCATTTATTTGGTATAGCCCTGTGAGCCATTCGGCTCTTGAATCAGGTGCAATCGCAACAAACAAAAAACAAAAACACGAACAAGAAAACATCTTAAAGTGACTGTGTGACTGTGCAAACAGAAAATCCAGGAAAAAAACATCAAAATATTCCTGAAAAAGCACCGTACACCAACGCTGTGTGCAAAAATCGCAGTGGGATGCAAGTCAAACAACAACAACCACAAGACAACTTAGATTAAGGCCATCAGTCTAACTCCGTACTACAACAAACAAAAACATGGCCAAACCAAAAAAACGTTTTCGAAATCACCAAAATAAAGCCATAAATGCAATGTAACAGTGATCATAGGGACCACCATAGGTTGTTCTTCTGTTAAGGGGCAGTTACCCCGTGTGTTGGTATCAATAAATGTGTTGCCTCCAAAGAGACCGTCTGTGACTCAGTTGAACTCACTACACATTTACTCAATTTACTCATGGTGACAAGACAAGATAACCAAAATGTATGTATGTTCAACGTCTTTTACACGACCATACATAGCCATACACGGAGGAAGGACAACAAACTAAACACAATAAAACTGTTTTAAAAACACGAGTTTGTCAATCTGGATGATTATTTAAAGGTGCATAGCTCCCAGTGGCTTCCTAATATCGGAAGGAAGCGCAGTTCCAGACGGCCGCAGAAGCGCATCCGAAAGTGCCGCGCCACGTGGTGACCATCTCTGTTCGAGGGCTTAGCCAAAAGCTGCCACTGCAAGGATGACCTTAGTTCGCGTGGTGATGGTGGCTTATGTTCCTTGACGAGATCAGCGAGGTAAGTGGTTCAATGCAGTTCTTCAGGAACTGGTGGATTTGCAAAATTCTTCAAGCCGAGGGATTTTTCTTGTCATTGCAATTGGTTTATCTCGCCATTTACAGATTCGAATTATGACCTTGCCGCCATTCCGTCAGCATTCTCATCCGTCAGCCATTTTTCTCTGTGGCCACACAACTTCCTGTGGCCACAAAATTTCCTGCTTGTACTGATGAAGGGCCATTGCCGAAAACATCGCCTTTTAAAATGTATTTCCTTTTAAGTCCATGCATTTTTATTGACAAATGTGTTGAGTTTTTCCGTTGTTAATTATGCACCATTGCGCCACAATAGCGAGATGTTAACTACTTTGCCTGGTACACAGGGGGTCGTGGGTTTAATCCTGATCCTGAGGCCTGCTGTATATTGGGAGTTTGCATGTTTGTCTCTCCTCGTGGTCGCGTGGATTCTTCTCCGGGTCCTCTGTGTTTTCCATCCACATTTAGAGAGACATGCGTTTAGTTTTAGAGTTATTTGGCTGCTATACATTTCCATGTGATAAGCTATCATTTGTGATAGCAAGGTCGCTTCTGAAAAAGAGCTATCTAGCTCAGTGGGCCTTGCCTGGTAAAATAAAAAAAATAGTTAATCGTTTTTATAGTATCTTTGAGTTTTGGCTTATAAAGTATACCGATTAAATGTACCATTAACCTTCTTTCCTCAAAGATGAAACGATCGGTCCAGATATGCTTGGACACATTTTTTTCAGTATGCAGTTGTTTAATGATTTTTGAGGCTCATAAGTGTCTGTGGTGTTGATTTGTGTAATTTATGGGTGTGCATTTCATGGAAACTTACAGTTTCACGTGGAGCGCTTTGCTGGGTAACAAAAAATAGTTCCCAGTTTTCGTTTATTGCCAATGCTGCAGCAGCAGTAGTGGCATCACCAGATAATGTCAAATTTCTGTCGAAGTCCATGGGAAGTTACAAATTTACGATGTCGCCATCGCTCATAAATCCCTGCGTTGCCACAATGCCGTTAATCCTGCACGTTAGCCTGATTTCCTATCGCACCAATCTGTGTGCTGGTCATTCTCTCGAGGGCACAAGCAATCAATCTCTCTCTTTTTCCCTTTAGCTGTCCATTCCACCATTGGGCTTGTCCTCCACCATCATCTTGATTCTTCCAGCCAGACGTGTCCCCTTCGCATGATGTGCAGTCACATACCATCGGACATTGTATATTCGTCAAGGCGGTGTCTTAGATTGTATGAGTTCCCCCTCTACTGCATGGTTCCTCTTTCCATTCGTAGCAATTTAAAGCTTCCCCTATATATTTTTTATTTGGTTTGTTAATAATTTATATCTCAGCGTAACGTCGTTTAACATTTAACAAAAATTACTTGTTATTTTACTTTGGCTCGCAAAAGCAATGTGTAATAAAGTTTTCAGAAATTAGGGGCCGTCCATAAATGACGTCACGCGATTTTGGACGATTTTTGACCATCCCCCCCCCTAGTCACACATAAAACATGCTTCAAAACGCTTTAAACTATTGCCATTGTAGTGTGTATTTAATGTGGCGCTGCACTCTGATGTTGTAGGTGAAAATATTTATTAAAAAGTATAATAATTAATTAAGTAGAACGTGTTGTCTATATTTATTTAAAGTTGCTCATTTTGATGTGACGTCACATTTCTCACCCCCCCGCCCCCCCGTCGTCACACATCGTCACAAATGTCTGACCCCGCCCTAGGTGCGTGACATCATTTATGGACGGCCCCTTAACAATGTATGTACAGTGTAGGTGTACCCCCCTCCCCCACCCTCTGGAATACGTAAATTCGATTCACAATGATACTTTGGTACGTTCTTATTAAAAAAAAACAGTTCACGCCTCGTTTGTTTTTGTTATATTAAACAAAAAATATCTCAATAACAAAAATGTTGGTGGGAAAAACGGTGTCACATCGTTCGTCCGCGCATGCATTTCATCGCCTAACCCACTCGTTGACATGCCAATTCAAACGACTGTACGTCTAGCCCAGTATGGGCTTAATGTAATGAATCGCACATATCATTGTGAATGGAGATAATGATGACCACGGTATGTGGCCCATAGACTCGCGTGACTGCGCAGTAGGCCACGCCCACCAGTGGAGTAATCAATTCAGGGTACAGGGCTCCTATTCAGATTCCAGTGGACACTGCGGTAGAGGGATTGAGCAGTGAGGTGCTTGTGTAACCTGGAGTCGATTGGTGTTGCATCTGGTCGTAATTACAGATGCACGAATGCTCCTCAGAAGAACACTTTGAAATAAGGAGTTCCCGTTCAACAACCCTCCGGTGGTTCCTCGGTGGTGTTGGATCACTCGATCCTCAAGAGGGCAGAACACAACACATTATTCACTCATTGCCTGCGAACTTGTCTAGCATTTAACACATAGTAGGCATTCACGACCAATGTCCATATAGAGTAAAACCTTGGATTGTGATCATAATTCGTTCCGGAAACGTGTTTGTAATCCAAAGCACTCGTATATCAAAGCACTCGCATATCAGTTGTGATCACGTGACGCTCGGCAGACAAAGCGTATACGTACTTCTACTCGTATTGCAAGACCCTCGCTCGTTCATCAAATAAATATTTATTTATAATTTTTGCTCGTCTTGCAAAACACTCGCAGACCAAGTTACCCGCAATCCAAGGTTTTACTGTACACCAGTGTGCTGTAATAGTCATGAATTGGCATGTTCCGTTCACGTGAGAACCCTTACTAATTGGCCGCGTCGAGTGGTGGCGGGTTTAACGGCATTCATATTTGCGCGTTATAACCCAAAATAACGTCTTATGAATAATATTGGTTGCGAAGGCCGACGTGTCAAACTGTGGTTGGTTGTTTAAATTAACCACGCGTGCACTTTTAGTCTCCCCTTTGCCTTGTTG